CCGTGATACTCTGGCGCGACAACGACGTCTTGGGAGAATCGTGGTTCAAAAGACGCTGCGTCCACTTCGCTCTGCTTCTCTATGCAGTGGGATGGCCCTGTCGGGGACCCATGGTTTCGTTACGGTCACCACCTCGTTCGGCGGTCTGTTAACACACTCGAAGTTAGTATACTGAAGTCATCTCCCAGATAAGGGAGTTGAGGGAGACATACCTCAACGGATTGAGCTTGTCCGTCCGTGAGAATCTTCTTGATGACTTCGTCTTCGTTGCTGGTGCCGAACTCATTCTCTAAGCTGGCCTTGCTGGCCTCGTCCAGCTGACCTTGAGCACCGTGCTTGTGTGTGAGCATGATCTTGAAGCTGTTCACTACCTGAGCCAACGGGATCGACTGGTCCTGCTTCCATGCTTTGAGATCCTCTGGAGACTCGACAAACACGATGAAGTCGTCGGTCTGGCCCTTGAAAAAGACTTTGGTCACTTGAGCGTTTCCGCGAGGCATGTTGGCGTTGAGTGTGATGTTTTGATTGGGGTTGAGGAGAAGGTCGGTGCAAACGGTGTGATCACACGACTATTCTGCGAAGAAGATTTTCGGAAAGGTGAGTGTGGTGGGGTTCCAATACTGTTAGAAGTGAGCTCGGGCTTCGGTTGGAGAGGTTGGGGTTCAGTAGACTCACAGTGTGAGAGTGAGGCGTAGCTATATGACGATTTGAGGCAGCTGCTCTTATGTAGGTACGGAGTGGTATTCAGGTGAACTGATGGTTGGGTCGAGTCTGAGGTCGCAGTCAAGGCAAGAAGTAATAAGAGCGCGGGTCGCGATGACGTCAATGCAGTCGAACGCTCAAGGTACGAGTAATCGCCAGGGGCAATGAAGGCGTGACCTGCAAGATTCACACAGCCCCACCAGCAGCAGCCACGAACATTCCAGCAGCTACGTAACTGAAGTGACTGAAGAGGCCACCTTGAGGCCACCTTGAGGCTACCTTGGGATGACCTCTGTCCACTCGCCATGCCAGAAACAAAGTGATCGTCAAAGCAAGAACGGACTCTACCGCAGAGCCTCCGTGGCCTCATACCCGGCACGAGTATCTCTACTCGTAGTCATGCATTAGGCAGGCTTAACTTACCTGCCCAATATTGTGCATGACGTTGATGGGATCGTTTGAGGTGTGAGGTCATGCGCTGGGGAGTGTCGCTAACGTGCCTAAAAGGAGCCAAGGTGCTATGACGGGGCACTAATAATCTAGACTATAAGAACAGCCTTCTGTCCTCAACTTCCCTGAAGGCTCAACAATGTCCAAAGTGAAAGAAAGATGAGCTCGCAGTGTTCGTTGGAGGATTGGAATTTACAAGCCGACCAGTGTGTCTCGCGCTGAATCTGCCGCATCGCAGTTCGAACCTCGTCCTCACTGTTTGTACTTCTGACCGAAAAACAAAAACTCTACCCAGAACCCCCAACGACTACCGGTGTAGTCGAGGTTCTGGCTAGAGAAACCCTCCGGTCGTGGAAGAGGATTTTTTGCTCGTTCTCGTCAGGTTCTCTCCCGCCCTACAACCCCCGGTGGAGTTGATCAATGGCAGAGGGACTCCTCCATCTGAACCAGACAGACACTTTAGACTCACTGCAAGGGAGTGTCAGAGGCAAACAGGTCGACTGTAAGTCGCTTGAGTCTGGCTGGGTAACATCCAATCATACCCACCAAGAGAAGCTGTCTCATACCAGGCGAATCTCCCTCACGCCCTGAACTGTGGTTGATTTTGGCGACCAGTTCAGAACACGGGATGGGCACAAGAATTTGAGGACAAATTTGGCATTTCACCATGATATCCCTTGGTTTTATTTCTGCCGGAATGAGTGGGTCTATTTATATTCACCGCTGTGAGTGACTGACTTCCTGTCGCGTTGCGAGGCTGTCCTTCACATGAGGCACCCACCACTGGAGCTGAGCGTCCACCTGAACTAGGACCCGCTGACCTTCTTGACACTGTCTCTGGCAAGCATATCCCCCAGCCACTTCGAGTAGGCAGGATACTTGGCCATATCGATGGTCTTGTCGCTATCCAACCACGGGACCCCGGCACACCAAGGCACAAACGCCAGGTCCGCGTATGTGAGCTTGTCCCCGACCAAAAACTTGTGCTTCTGCAACCATCCGTCCAGAACGCTAATGACACGCTCCACCTCCCTCACGTACCGCTCGACCGCACTGGGGACCTTTTCAGGATGGTAGTTCTTGAACCAGGCGGCCTGGCCGAAGTAGGGACCTTGACCCGACATTTGGAACATGAGCCACTGGTTGAGTTGATACTTCTCCGGGATGCTAGTGTACGTCAAGGTTTCGTTCTTATCGTACGTCTCAATCAGGTACTGAATGATGGCGCCAGACTCCCAGAGACTGATTCCTGTGTTGGGGTCTTCGATGGCCGGAAGTCGGCCATTGGGATTGATGTTGGTAAAGGGAGGTTGTTTGAGCTCCGAGTTGTCCACATCTTTGACAGTATACGGGAGGCCGAGTTCCTCCAGGATGATTTGCACCTTTCGAGGGCTGGAGAGAGTATCAGTAAGGAACATTCAAATGATCTCCAACCACGCAGAGGTCATTGGGCAGGACATACTTGGGTGTTGGGCCGTGGGCATAAAACGTGATGGGTTTGAGTGACGAGTTCGACATCTTGAGCTTCTTTTCCTCAGTTGAATGGACGATTGGAAGTCTTTGCCATTGCTCAAAGGCGTGCCCACGGGCTCCCTCTTGTACTCTGCGCGGTTCAGTCTATGATGGTGCCTGGAGACTATCGGCCGAGTTTGTTATGGAGAAAGCGGGACGCGTACATTTCGGCCGCCCACTCCACACATCTATCTGCGATGTGGTCATTACCACAGCTTTCCGCATGAAGTCGCTTTCTGCTGACATTCGCCGGCTCGTACTCGTAATCGCGATCGTACTAGTAATCGTAAATGTAATTTTATTTTGGCTTAGCTCAAGACCCAGTTGTGAATCAAGCCTGGCTTTGTCATCCTCTGATCCTCCCTGGACCTGGAAATGTAGGGCCCTCAGACTGTTTGTTGCTCGGTGGCTCTGAGGAATCATTCCGACGTCTTAGTCGACAGCAGTGGCCCCAAGCGGTTTATCATATGTGCACTACCGGACGAAATCTCAGGTTCACGAGAAAACAAGTGCAGAAGCGCACGAATTGGCATACATCTTGTTAGTATTGTGCTGTGCCTACCTTTGCTGTTACTGTTTGTCACGGTTTGGGTGCGAGGCACGCGGCGTATCCCTGACCGCAAATCCGGACTGGTAGATTGTTGTGTTCTGTCTTTTTCGCTATGCTCTCCTTACTCACCTTAGGGAGGAGGGGGCCTGTCTTTCTTGAAGAAGGCTCTGACACGATTAGTCTTTTCTGCCACAAAGAGTTTCACCCGGCCCCATCGGACTCGCGCACTGTGCTCCCAAGTCCAGGTCATCTCGTCGTGAGCAAGCACCTGAGTGGTCTCCGGATACATGCCCGAGCGTTCACATCTTCTGCCAGCCCAATCAAGCAAGCAATACGCCCGACATGGTGAACAGTCGCACGCACAAAACTTGTTCCCACTATCTGATGCTCCGGTCCAGAAGGGCATGGGCGGCTTGAGGCTAGAATCACTGCATGGTTGGCCGACGTACTCAACGAGTCGTTCGGCCCTACATGCACGGCAGAAGCAGTGATTGGCAGTCTTCCGGCTCTTAGGCGACAAAGAACCAGAGCTTTGGACTTCGAGTCCTTCCGCACCAAGCAGAGGGCGTAGAGGCCTCAGTGGGCTGGCATGTTGAAGCTCGGACGTTGAGATGTCAAAGTCAGCATCTGGCATGGCCTCAAAGTCACGGTGCGCCACAGTTCTCAGCCAAGCTGGGATGGAACCGACCATTTCGCTGCGATAGTACCCGTCAACCACTCGAAGGGACAACATGGTTTTTGATTCCGAATTTTGTGACATGATGTCGCGATGGTTAGTCTGAGTCTGGAATTCTTCTTCGCAAGAAGCTTCGGTTACTGTGAAGCGCCATGTGACTCTTTCGAAGTCTGACTGAGCGCTAATTCCAGAGGCAGGCGGAATCAAGTTGAGATGGAGAGGGTCAAAATGCAGCTCAGGATGTGTAGGGCACTTACAAGCAGTGCGAGACAAGGCAATTGCATGAAAGGCATGTCGGCTCAGGGCAGCTTGTTCCCACGTTCACTAGGGATGTGATAGCTTTTCATTGTTTACGGTCTTTGTGTGCTTGACTAGCGGTGCATGAGTCCCTTCGATGCTTTCTCTTCAGCCTTTGTCCTAGAGAGATTGTTGTCGAGCTCCACATTGGTGCACAATGACAGAGAGTCGTGATGAAAGAGAGCCCCGGAACGCACACCCTCGAGGACTGCTAGATTATTGCACGGCGGACAGAATATCAATAGCAGGGACGCGAGCCAGGTGAAATGTCCCGATCTGCGTTTTGCTTGTGGCCATTGCAGTGGACAAGGCTAGAGCAGCTTCCAGAGCTTGTAAGTAAAGTTGGAGCTCAACGTTGCTCAAAAATTCCGTCAGGCGCCTCATAGGACAACAGGGTACCAGAGCCGACCTCTTTGATAGCATCGTAGAGCCGCCGGCAAAGCGTGATGTTGGCCGTTCTCGTTCGGCGTTGGCACCTTTGAAGTCTCTGAAAATATTGGTCGTATATGGCTGTCCATAGGCAGGCCACTTTGTATCGTGCCAGACCGATCTTATCGTCGCATGCAGTAGCAGAGTTTGTTGAGCCGTCCTCAACGTACATTTGTAGACTGATATACAGAATCCAGCCAGCAGTGAATGAACGATCTGTGCACTGTCGCAGGCACTCGGAAGTGGTTTGCGCGTCTGAAGTTTCAAGACTACCGTACCCTTCTACGGTCAAACACAATATCTTCCCACGCATCTTGAATGTGTTTCCTCAGTCGCCGTGTTTGAGCTTCTATCCAGATCCGAGTCTGACAATGAGCTTCAGAAATGGATCCTCGCACGGCAGACCCCGTGCAATCTATATGGCGGGACCTGCCCGAAGATACGTTCCGCGAACACCTGGTCCGGCTTGAAGAGCGTACTAACGCCGTGCCAATGGACGTGCAACAATTTGATGTCTCGACTAATATCAAAAGCCACCGCAGCGGTCATCTGTTGTCAGTTAACGATGAACAGGGTCTCGCAAACGCGTTTGCATTCTTAGTGGCCGTGGAGGAAGGTGCGCAGAGCGTGGCGGCGGTCTGTCTCGAAGAAGACGTCAAGCTCACCACTCTGACCATCCGCTTTGCTGCTGTCGATGCCATCAGCGAAGCCGTCCAGGGGGCATTACGCCACGTAATCGACGTGTTGTCCGTGAAGAGTGACCGCCTGGTTGATAGTCACTTGAAACTTGACGAGCTGTTCCGGCTGGTCACAAAGATGCATTTCCGACGCATCCTCGCCCGCCTCCGCTCCTCGAAATGGACCAAGCCGAAGTTCCTCTCTCGCAGCCACAAAAAGCCATTGTGGCAGGACTTTGCGAATCTATCCCATCGTGTACAATTTCTCTACACGAAAAGAGAGCTTTCTATCCGGCAGTCTCTCGAAGAGCAACTCGAAAACCTGACCAGATTGTATTCGTCATTCGAAATCGTGGCTCTGGACTCTGATGAAGAATTTGCCCACCTCATCCGCCTTGTCCGTACGAGCTACGACTTTTGCACATATGAAGTGGTTCAAGAGTATGCCAGGCGCCTCGAAAATGCCGGACCAACGTCGCAAGTCCGCTCCGCCCTCAAGACCATCCGACAAATTGAGAAAATTGCGGCCTATTATCGCATCTCAAACACTCTCATTCGAATCTCACGTCTCTACCCGCAATACTTTCAAGCCGAGAAACTCGTTCTGAATTTTCTACCGCCATATGCTAGTGTCCCAACAAGTATCGGGTACGAAGACTGGGCGAAGACATGCCATGTCCATGCCGAGATACAGCTGATTGTTTACTACGATATGCACTTTTCGGACACTTTCACCTCCAATTCAAGGTCTCATGACTCACACAACGCCAACTTCCTTCCACCCCGTGTGATTGGCACCAGCAAATACCTTTGCTATCTCTGCTATCTCTTCATGAAAGTGCATGGTCGGTATCCACCCGCCAACACGCACGGGCGTTTGTATGATCAATGGACAATACCCGACTGTGCCGACTTCGGCGATGACCAACGCAATTTCTACAGGTATATCATACAGCAGATAGACAATGAGGTTCTGGCTCGAGCGTCAGAGCCACCCCTTTGGAGGCCGGAACCCATGACAAGCAGAGAAAATCTCCTTGATACCATGGGCGATGAATCTTCCACTGTATTGTGGCGGAGACCGCCACCCGACGGAGGCCGCAATGCTATATCTTGAAACGCGTGAAAGCCTGTTCAGACACAAAGGCGTGCATCACAGCCGTCCTAAGATGGACTCCGTGAGGAGACCAAGCGGCCAACGCCCCCTTGCCCGAGATATTGTGTGTTGTCTTCGACCTTGAATCAGCGCAGTGAGCGACAGTACTAAGAATATTCATCGTCGGAGTGGCAGAGGGAGACATTCTAATCGATGAACGGATTCATGGAGTTGAGGAAGTAAAGGCAAAGTGATTTGAAAGTCAGCCGAAGTTATCCCGACCCTGTGGGGAATGATTCTTCACCCCTGCAATGCTGCCCTCTGCGATCACCACTATCATCCTACACATCGTGGAAGCCAAGTTCTACTTCTTCTCAGTCGACCGCATCGCCCAATATGGACTTCAAATCCCTCATGTCCGCTCAAATCGCCAAAGCGAAGCCCAAGCCCACCCCATCGCCGTCGAAGTCACCCACTCCCGAGGCCGTTGCCAACAGTAAATATTTGCGCCGTGCAGAGCTGGAAGCCGCACGGCAAGCTGCTTATCTCGCCGAGCAAGAGAAAATACAAGCCGAGCGGGAGGAACGGACAGCCAAGAAGCGCAAACTAGAGGCTGAAGAGCAAGACAAGGCCGCGAGGAGGGAGGAGAAATTGAGACGGTTGGCAGAAGAGAGTAAGAGGAGACGGGAAGAGGAGGAGCGAGAGGAGGAAAGAAAGCGAAGGAAGAGATTGGGCCTACCTGACTTGGTCGATCAGAAAGCCATCGAAGACGGCTCAGCAGCCGACGGAGTCGGCGAGGACATACCCGACGATGAGTTACGGTCAAAGCTGCGAGACCTGCACGAGCCTGCCTCCCTCTTCGACGAGGACCATTCCGCACGATTGAGACGATACTACGCTCTGACCCGACAAAAGGCATTGACAAAGGCTGCCAAAAAATTTATGACGAATGGGCCCGTCCCAACAACATTGGAACCCCTCCCAGAGAAAGACCTACTCCTCCCAGAAACGATGCCTGACCGAGCGTCACCCGAGTGCACATTCCTCTACCGACAGATAGCCTCATATTTCACCCTCCTGCTCACCGAATGGAGCCGCGCCTTGAACGAAAGAACCGAAGAAGTCAAGCAGTCATCTTCGGGAAAGCAGGCTTATCAAGCGTACCTGACTGTCTTGCGCGACCTGACACCCCTCTTCCGGCAATTAGAATCCGGCACTCTGGATCATTCGCTGCTCGGGTCCATCTGCAAGATCCTCCGCAGCACGCAATCCCGCCGGTACGTCGAAGCTAACGACGAATACCTGACCCTTAGCATTGGAAAAGCCGCCTGGCCAATCGGCGTTACCATGGTGGGCATCCACGAGCGTTCGGCGCGCGAGAAGCTCCACGACGGAAATGCCCAGGCCCATATCATGAGCGATGAGGTAACAAGGAAGTTTTTGCAGAGTATCAAGCGCTGTATCAGCTTTGCGCAGACAAGGTGGCCGCCTGAAGATTTGGGACAGTTGATGGGCTAAGTCTGATCGACGCGACAAAGCGAAATAATGTTCTCCAAGAACACTGGTGGCTCGACCATGGAATGGTTATCAAACATCTTGATCGGACACGCCCACTACCAACACAGTAAGCTCTTGTGAGATGCCGGTTCTTTCTCCATGTGGTTCTGAACGCATCAGAACGCATCACTACTGGTAGATGCCACCCATCCTGATTCCAGCAGAGCGGAGTAATACTCAGCTTCCAAAGCGGCCTGCATCCATGAATATGTCGAATCTCTGGACTGGATTCGAGGTCGTCCGCTTCTTTTACGCCTTGTCCCCGGGTGGGCAACGACAAGTGCAGAAGAACAGAGGTTAAAACCGCAGCCGTATGAAGTGTGGCCCGGGCTCTACTCTAAACGTTCGTTCGACTTCGGACAGGCGGCCGCACCAATGTATGTCTGCGGTACAGTATATCCTGGAACAGTCCAGGAGACCTGCAAATACGGCGCACATACCTTTGAAGACTTCCATCGTCATGACTCCACAACTCGTTGTGCGAGATGGCATTGTGTCTGTTTCGTGGTCCACAATCGCGGCATACCGAAGTGGCGAGTATCATCCAGACTGGGCCCGATTCGGGTTTGATGATCTGAGACGCAGAATCTTCATTCACGTCTTGCTGTAGGTACCATGCCATACGTGAAGAGTCGTCAGATGGGGAGTTCGCTGTCCGGTCTTGATTGTGTAGCCCTTCCGTCCTCCTGCCGACTGGGAATGTATGGCAACGCGTTTGGACGCTGTCCCGGATGAGAGCCGACGCCCCGGCTAACCTCTGCTCGTCCGGAGCAAGAATTTGACAGCTGTTCGTAATTTGTTGCTAACGAGAATGGACATGTCGGAAGCAGAACTTGCCATGGACAACCTGTCTCATAAATCAAGATACGGATACCGTGAGAATCGTTGCAGATTGAAGCGACAAACAGATCGGGATGCACCTGAAAGGCATAGCTTATAGGTGGCGGTCCCAGAAAGGCTCGAAGCGGCTCCAGACCTCCAGGACGGCGGATGTTGCTCTTGTCAGCTCTGGACCATACGGTCAATCGGCAAGCGCACCGAGGAGACTGTACACAGTGCATGAAAATCTGCTGCAAACAACACCTTCCCTTGCTCGATGCGTGTCCGATATAGGAAGCGTGCCGGCTCCCTAGGGCTGCCCTTTCAGCCGCGATCCTGGCCCTCTTCGCAACTTCGTCATATGCGCACCTTCACACTCGCAGCCGCGGTGGACGGCCATTCCTATCCCTTCCCTTCCCTTCTCTTCCCTTCCCTCCCTAGCAGCCTAGTGCTGGCCCATGAGAACCATCGTACGACAGCCCGGTGCAAAACTCGCGAGCTTCAACGGTCACGAGGCCTTCTACTTCACACGCTTCACACGCCCGGTCCAGCACGGACGGGCTCGGCCTTCCAGATAGGCATTCCAACCGCCTTCCCGGATATTCAGCCGCAGGTCGTGGACTACCTGAGCTCTTTGGTTTGGGAAGCTGGGCAGGATGTTCATGTGAAGCACCATGAGGACAGTAACAAGGGATCTAGGTAGAGGACGGAGCTGAAGAAGGGGGAAATTGAGAGATTCATCAAACGCGACGCCAATCATCGAGCATACACGTATCTAACTTAGCACGTACGAACGAATTGTGCTCAATAACATGGTGAACACGCCCATGTGTCGGGTTATGTACGAGTATGGTACGGAGTGCCCGACTGGAATAAGAAACACTTGGTCAGTCACCAGCGTGTAGTGTATCCTCCGAGTCTAGAAACCATCCTAGACCGCTGAAACGAATTAGCCGCCGACGCCCAAAGATAACGCAATGCCGTCAACCTTCCTGCATTGCTAAATCGACCGGCCACCTGGGTATTCGCTGAATCGGGACAACATATCCTCCCATGCATATACCCATGCTGTATCTCAATTTGTCCTGCCCATTGTCCTCCGTGTTTGATCCAGCCTGTCGAGCGGACGGCCACGTGGAGATGGTTCCTCCACGGCTCCGCTCTGCCACAGGTCGCACCATAAACCCCCGTAGCACGCTGTGCAACCACACCGGCGGGTCGTCCAGCCCAACTTGAACCGTCGTTGGTCTGAACGAGTTACACAACAGCTCACATGTCCTTGCCTTATCACTCGCACGGCCGTCGAGACCAGCGTCCAGGCGTTTTGCAGAGTCTCTTCAGGTCATCTGATCATGATCGAGTCAGTCTGACGCATAGTGACTCTTCATTCCCGTGACGGTCAAGTTAGATGGTCATTTCATGTACTCGTACACCGACTCGGATCCTTCAGCCTGACAGACACGCAAAATCAGGCAATCTAGCCGCAGATAACCGATTACCGACGCCACAATTAGAATGGGGGGCCGAGGTGAGCCAAGGAAGGGATCTCGGAGAGCAGCCTGGCACAACCTCGTACAGGGCTGGGTTGCCCCCAAAGGAACTGTTTCCGAGGCGTTTGCGGTGGACCCCGACTAGAGGGTGGAGTACTCCGTCTGCGACAGCAAAACCCACTCAGAATGTGCTCCAGGCCCAATCTTTGGGGACGCTGTTGGCAACCTGTTCCACCGGCTTGCCCGAACGAATGCCGCTGGAGATCATTCTTCGGTGGCCACTTGCTCCTGCCAGAGGGGTTGGCGGGCCGCTCTCGTGGTTGCTGCCGTCTTCTCTGCTATTCTGGCTGTTCTTGCGACGGATCGACCTAGCCGTATCCCAGCGCTGATACTGACGGTGGCAGACCTCACATGCTCTTGACGGGCTGCCATCGGGGTGGAACTTAGCATACTGGTCCAGAGGGATTGTAAAGGGAGCGTGTGACGAGCAAAAGATATGGCCGCAGTGACGGCAGTGGTGTTTGCGGACAAAGAGACTAAAGGACGATCGACACTGCGGCGAGTCGCAGGTCGGTGAAGCTTGGTCGGGCTGGAGTAGAATACACATGTTAGTATCCGTCTGCATGTCTCAACGCAGGTGGCCGCGTACCTTCCAATGATCCCGTGTGGGAGGACCGGTGACTTCACCCAACTCCTCCTCTTGAGCCCAGTCATGGTCAAACGCGTCCAGGCCCAAGTCATGGTGGGCATCTGGACTTGCTGTCCGAGCCTCGGCCTCTTGTAAACTGTCCAATGAACCATGCAGGCTCTTGGGCGGCGTCATGGGCGATGGGTTGCAGAAGTGCTCGGTCGGTCGGAGGGCGGCAGGGACGTAGAGAGGTGACTTCAAAGGTCGCAGTTGCTTGTACGGGTTCGGCGCATGCTGCTGGATGTAGTCCTGCATGCGAGGAGACGCGGGAGACGTCGAGCTGGCTGGAGAAGGCTGTTGGCTCATGTAGTCTGGGATGGTGAATGGTTGAGCTGGGTAGTTCATGACCGCAGTTCGTGTGGCCACAGAAGAGGCGGCTCGACGGTCGTCTATTCGGATATAAGACGGTAGAGAGTCCGATAGCAGTGCTGTGTCTGCGCCACAGTGCTAGTCAAGACGACAGTAGATGCGCTTAATGTCGGTACCGGATAGTCGACAGTCGCTTATTGACAAGGCGCCGGACCACGAGCGGGCTCCGTAACCACGTTCCCGGTACCGAGAATGACCTCAGAGGCGGTGCGATAGCTCCCAATGGGATCTCCGCGATCAAGCAGAGACAAGGCAACCCGACGGGCGTCGAGGTGAGTGAAACGTGGGAGGTGGGGTGGGCGTGACGGCCAGGTAACGAGCAGGCCACGGGGAGGGTGGGATGGACGAGATCAAGAGAGGCACAAGCGCGGCCAAATCCCAACCGATATGTGACCCAGATAAGGGCGTCGTCTACCCAGAACACGAGCTGGATGACTCTGCAGAATGGGGGCACAAAGTGTAGCTATGATTATTTTCGAATAGTGTGGTCAACAGTAGAGGCAAGAGTAGCTGGCGGGTGAAGGATACAAAAAAGAATAGTGGTCGCAAGACCATCGACCTCATAGTGGGTAGTGAGGGCAAAGGCGAGAAGGGTCCGTACCCATGCCCACCCGTCGCGCGATAGGCATGTGCGTTCCTACTCAGTACTAAGCTGCTGATAAGGACTCGAACGAGCCAATGATAACTGCAGCATTAGGACAAAGGGTTGGCCACTGGGAAATCATGCGCTGTCTGACACCGCTGGGCTAGACAGAACGAGACAGAAGTCAAATGAGGAAATCCATCTGGGCGGAGGAGCATGCCGGGAACTGCGAGGGACCTGACCGATTCGGGTACGTCAGACGGGTTGCACTTATTTCACAAGAGTGCTCGAACAGGTCTCCCAGCTCTCAACTCTCTCGCCACCAGGCAGAGCAGAGTCGCAGGAGGCGATGACGGTCCGCAGGGCCCGGGGACAACGGCCGGAATAGGATTCGCGATAGGCTGGATTAGGCTCTCTTAGGCAAAAACAACCCCAGTTCTCCAGTTAAAGCCCGGCCCTGGGCAGCCTAGGGTTGCAAGCCGAAGTGGCCAACCAGACCGTGTGCCGCCGCAGCCTGATTGCCACCCACTGGTCGCAGTCGCATTGTCATCGGCACTCGACCGCCATTTATATTCTGGCTGGGCCGGCATCCGCAATATCAATGTGCTTTCCTGGTGATCTCCCGATCTTTACCACGCCCACTGGTTATGTACGGTGTACTGTGTAGCGAACTGCAGTCGGGGCACCACGGCACAGGTGCGGTTAGTTCCTGCGCAGCTACAACACAACCCAGTCGACTCCCCCGGGCACGAGGTCGCAGGTTGTACGGTGTCGGCGACCTTCACATCAACCAGATCCATCATGCAGAGGAACGAACAAGTTCGTCCGAATCCATGTATCCATTTAGTCACAAAATAGATTTGGTGGCTCTGGTGGATGCCATGATGAAACCCGGTCTCCGTTGGGAGCGCCAAGTGGGCATGGATGCACATCACTCGAGGCGTGCCGACTCCCAGCGATGTTGTGCATTATTATGGCATCGTGCAGCAGACGACCGCCTGGCGACCCAATGTTCTGGAGGGACGAAGCCGAGCGACCAGCTCAGCTGTTGTTGTCTGGTTGGTCTCGGTAGGCATCGGGAATGGTCTCCGCGGGGGCGTGTCAACGCGCCCGTCAATATCTCTGGCGGCCATCGGCTGCAGTGTTGCGCTGGCCGATGGAAACAAAAGTGGACAGGGATGCCAACAGGCTATGCTGTAACCATGGAGAATTTCTGTCCATCCACGCACCTGTCGGGCTGCAGTGGCACCTCCAGTAGCGGGCTCACCTGCTGGTCGGTAGCCAATTAGGCGGCCGGTTGCGCCTCCCTGGCCCCGGATCACCCCCATCTTTCAGTTAAGGTTTCCAAGGCCTTCAAACTCGGTCAAAGGATTGACACGTTTCCAACCCTCACTTCCCCCTCAATTCATGCTCCTTCTATGATCATCCCTCCTTCTTGATGGCGTTCTGCCAGGCCTGACGCTTCCCCGTGTCGCCAGTCTCGCAGTAACCGTGGGCATTCTGGCACCCTCACCTCGTACGCCCATCACCACCATTCTGGAAGACGGGGAGGCAGCACAGCCCGTAAGCGATGACCAAAAGACACGCCGACTCCATGGCGGATATCTCACCTATGGACCCTAATCACCCGTGGGTGGCGCGAGGCTATCGACCGGAGTTTGCCTACAGTGTGAAAAAGGCGCCTGTGGAAGATCCCCACGGGGAGATTGCGTATCAACGAGCGTTCGTCGAGGCAGCTGAGGCCAAGCATAGTCGAGCCGAGGCGAGATTGTGTCGAGTGCCCGATCCGCTACTATATTACAACTCTCCTTCGGCACGAGACTATATCAAGAGAAGAGACGATGCCATCTTCTCGGCAAAGCCTCGGACCGGGAACACCAGGACCTCGACTCAACCCAACACACCGTCGTCGATTGGCACGCCGACGTACTCCCCGGGCCCGCGTGCCTCGCCCAGCTACAGTGCAAACGCTGGCTCGGCCACACGGAGAACGAGCATAAAGTCCGACATTGAGCCTGCGCTTTCGATAGCCAACTCGTCACCAAACATAAGAACGGCCGACCAAGTGTCGCCCAGACCCTCGAGGCCTCCCGCAGAGCAGTATCAGTCTTACGCTCCTCATGGCCTTCCTTTGACGCTGGAGCCGAAGCTCGATGCACCAGCAGGCCCTTCCAGGATGCTACGATGACGAAGCACACGTTGGATTTCGCAAGATGGACTTGGCAGGGCGGACTATCATTCGAACACCCACAGAGGAATCACTCCAGCTGAGCCATATCATTCGGGAACAGAGTACGATTCTCCCAACACTACGGAGTATTGAGTCTTTACATGAAAAAGTGCATTTCAGCGAGCACTATTGAGTCTTTCCATTAATTGCATGCATGCCACGACGTTATGACGATATCCCTCAGTTTCAATTCCAGCACTGGTTCTTGCAACGGAAAACATACATTTACGGCCATCTAGACGACAGCGGAATGGATCATATCCCAGGATTCTCCCGCATCTTGGGATGAAGACAGAGGAGCCAGCCGATCTCTATACACGTGGGAAGCAACTATCCTTTCAGAGAAGCGCGGCAGGCCGAGAAAAACAGGAAAGGCAAAGACAGACATAGATCGGAGCATCTTCACCGAACGAGTACGGACTACGGCCCTCCTTCTCATCTTACACTTACACCGATCGAGCCACAGCTGCGCACGGTATGTCATGCAGTCCCAAGTTTTGACACCTGCACTGTGGGATCTCTTGCGGCTCACGGAGTCGAGCTTCATGCCGCTTCGCCTCCCATTAGGGGAATGACAACAGGCGGTCACAGATTAGCCAATCACGAGAAGTTCGAATACGAGGACAGGACCAGGACCAGGACCGGGACTTGGACTTGGACTGGATTCAGAAAGGTGGGACTCTCCTCACAGAATTCAACACAGCCTATCTACCTAGCTACGGTACACTGTACACAGTACATAGTACTACTAATCAGCATGCGTGTGTTCCGACCTGCACGTCGCGTCTTCGCCAAGTCATGAGTCACAGCTGTCATTCCGTGCCTCTGCAAGCGACTACATAGTACGTGTGTGATATGTGGATACGTGGACATGTGAACACACTATGTACTCCGTATGTGCGTACACGACACGGAGTATGCGTCCCACGCTGTCGTTCTCGTCGATTCGGCTAAGCATCCCATTCCCACCATGATGCCAGAGGCAGCCCCAATCTACCGGTCGCATTGCCATGCAAGCAGCACGCAGCACGCAGGGTACTGTACTTTGAGAGGATGCTGACTTTTGTACCGCCCAAGCACTCTTTCAATGTTTGTACGAGTATCATTTCCATGTCTGTCTGTCTGCCACCTGTTTACCCCAGAGACGGTACAGCATCGGGACGCTGGACCAGAAGTGCGATTATCGGTGAGAACAACATCCTTGAATCATTTTGGGGGGCTCCAAGGTCTGCTCCTGCTTCTGCTGATGCCTCCGTGCCTGCATCTCGTGGCGCCGCCCTCTTCTTCTTCTTCTTCTTCCTCTCCTCTCCCCGAAGACATCCCAGCTGAGGAGCCGCCCACGTCAGCAGTTCGTGCCATGAAACCCACTCCCATCCCGCGCATTTATTCGGCTCGAGCAGCTTCGCCTCGGGGAACTGCTGGCCTGTCCCTGTGCTTTGTCCCGTGCTCGTACGAGTACCAGCGTTGGTGCCGGTGTTGGTATCGGTGTTTGTGCCGAGACTCATACTCTGCCCTTGTCCTTGTCCTTGTCCTTGTGCGTGCCACCCGCCCCTCACACGAGCAGTCATAAAGATCGTGACATAATGCTTGCCTTGATTTTGGCCGTCCAGGTCACTCGTCGCGCCTGCTGCTGCTGCTGCTGCTCCCCCCCCCTCCGAGAGCATGACATCATTCGTCGCGGTCAAGAACTTCACGTCCTCGATCTCGAGGCCTGTCTCTTCCATGACTTCCCGCGCGGCACAGTCCTCAAAGGACTCGCCGAATTCGAGGTGTCCGCCGGGGAGGCCCAATGTGCCGGCGCCGTGGGAGCCGAGACGTTTGCCGAGGATGAACTTGTACGTTTCGTGGGGAGATGATGATGAGACTGGAGATGGGGACTTTGTCTGGGTCTGGGTCTGGGTCTGTTTCTGGTTGGTGATGTGCTTGCTATCAGTGTCCACGTTCACGGGATGGAGGATGAACACGGCGACGCCGACGCGGGGATGAGTCGTGGACATGATCGCGGTGGTTGCAGTGGCAGTGGTGGTGGGACGATATCGAATATCGATTCAGTGTCCCTTTGGTCGAGGAAGAGACTTGTCTGTGTGTGTCTTGTCCGTCCGTCTATGCGTCTATCTCTGTATGACTGACTGACTGTACGTATGCTCTGACGGGATGACTTCCCTTGTACCTAATTAAATTGTAGGTGTGATTCAAGACCGTCGTATCGCGGAAAATTCAAACCCACGGTTCTTTCTTTCGATAGACTTGATATCACTCTATCTCATGGATGACCATGACAGTTACTGATAGTTGATGATGCCCAACGATCGAACCGCCTTGGATGTACAATTGTCCAGGCGAGACGAGTGGGTTCGAACCGGTATCGACAAATTTGAGTCAAATATTAATGAGTGAATAAACAATCAACTATGTAGTTAGCTCGAAGGTGTGAGTCAGAATGCCTTGAAGCCGCCAAGTCTGAACGAGTTGCGGGAATTTATTTGCCTTTGTCGCCTAAACACCAGTCTAATGTGCCGATGTCAGTGTCAGTGTTAGTTCCGGGTGCCAGTCGGTGAAAAATACGACGTGAGAGGCAATAGTGAAGTGGTGGTAGCAAGAACCAGCCTGCTAGAAAGTAGCGTAGTGGAGTGAGATAGAATAGTGTGATGTTGAGGCCGAACATGAACCTGACCCTGAAATTGATATTGAACTGAGATTTCGACGTGACGAGTCAAGGCAAGTCGAGCTCTCCTGGTCCGGCGCTGTTCACTCGCGCAAGACAAGCCACACTGTCGTTTGTCTTGTTACTCGTAACCACTGGATCCGTGGATAGCCTTGTGAGGCGCCTTGCATTTCTACATATCTCTCTCTGCCCTCTCAATCTCCATTTCCGTCTGTCTCTATGTGAAGGCCACGGAATCCGCCTTGTACATTCATATTCCATGGTCGTTTCTCCCTCTGCGATTGATCAGAGGGAGGAGAATGAATAAGGGAACGCGAAGACATCCTCGAAAGAGACCCTACTTTAATCTACTTCGTTCTGGTCGCGTCTGATATGGTCTCGGCTGGGCTCGTGTATCTGAGGCAGCAGGCGGAATGGTCGGTTAATTATATTTGTCTATCTCTCTGTCTAGATGTCTGCCTGCTGGGCTATGGCACATCTCTACCGACTGGCTTGACCAAGCGTGCTTCGGTCCAGATCAAGATTCGGACATACAGTATTATGCTCCAGCACAGCACGGCACAGCACAGCATCACAGTCGGACGGTTTTGTTCAGTTTCCACCCGTCAATCCATGTCTCGTCAACCATCTCCCATTAACCCACCCACTCCCTCGCTCGCTCACAAGACCTCCAATGTTGCGTTGCTGATAAAGTACAGGCCCGTATCTGTCGCGTTCGTCAAGTTGGTCTGCTTGACCTGCCCGAACTTGACGTAGCCGTTCTCGACCGGCGAATTCACCACTGTGCCATTGAAGCGGTGCAGATGATTCTCCCCCGCCACGACGGTGAAGTTTGCGAGCGAGATTTCATTCGGATTCCGAGTCACCACGGTCGGCATCCCGAAGTAATACGCCTGCACCTGCTGTTGGGTGAGGTGCAATTCGAAGTATCCCCGGTAGTACACCTCCTGCCACTGCAGTTCTCGGTTCGCGCCGACGAGCCATTCAGAGGCCTGCACGCTGCGGGCGATCGAGATGTTGGCGCCGTACGGTGAGGGCGAGGAGACCGCTGTGCCGCCGAACTCGACACCGATCGCGCCTTTGCCCGTGGCCGGGTCGTAGGGGTGGTTGTCCAACCAGACGAGGTCGGACACCCAGTTGGCGTGGCTGTCTCCCGCGATCATGATGTTGTTGGTGATGTTGTTGTCATACAGGATCTGATACGTCCGGTTTCGATTGGCCTGGTACCCGTCCCACGCATCATAGTCGAGTGGATTCACGTTTCCGTACGCGACGGACTCGTTGATGCGGCTGAAGACGGTCTGAGACCCAATCACGCGCCACGTCGCGCCCCGGTTCTTAGAGGAGATGAGTTGGTTATAGAACCAGTTTTCTTGGCGCGAGCCCATCATCGTGCGGCCGGCGTCGTTGGAGATGGTGTGGATGTAGTCGGTGTTCCAGTAGAGGTCGGTGATGGAGCGGTCGTACTGCCGAGTGTCCAGCATGATCAGGTCGAGGAGGTTGCCGATCGAAAACGAGCGCCAGATGCGGAGCTAGGAAGAGGTCAGAGGACAATGCCAACTAAGGGGAAGAAGGGGGGTGCTCACATCATCTCCCATTTCAACCTGCCGAATGGGCATCCATTCGAAGTAGGCGCGCACCGCGTTCATCTTGCGCTGGTCCACCGATACACCTCCGTCTTCGATGAAAGAGGACTCGGTGTTGTTGAGCTCCGAGGCGCCGTCGCGGTAGGTGTTGTCGGAGACTTCATGGTCATCCCAAACGGGGATCCAGGCAAAGTTTTGGTGGCTGGCAACCAAGTCCAGATCGGTTCGGTATGTGGCATGGCGCTTGCGATAGTCGTAGAGGGTGTAGATCTGTCTGTCAGGAAGCGGAACACGCCCAATTGTCTGACCCCAGCCGTATTCGCCGTTGGCGTACTCGTAGATGTAGTCACCCAGGTGTAGAACATAGTCGACCGAGTTCTTGCGGACGGGATTGCCGTAAGCGTTGAAGAAGCCAAACGGGTAGTTGCTGCAGGAGTAGACGGCCAGATTGACGGCAGCCGTGTCATCAGTGGGTGACGGGGTGGTCTTGGTTCTGCCGACCATGCTAGAGACGCTGCTGTTGCAAACCGTAAATTGATAGTAGTATTGAGTGAACGGCTGGAGGTTTCCAGCCTCGACTTTCACAGTGTAGTCGACATCGGAGCTGGTATACACCGTGCCTTGGTCGACGACCTGGGACAAAGCGCTGTCACTCGCTATCTTCCAGTTCAGGCAGACCGGGGCAGTAGACGGCGGTTTGGCCTCATCGGTGTCGTTGTAGATGGGCACTGGATTGTAGAGTGGCACATAGCCGCTGGTGGTACTGTTGCTCCTAACATTGTCGGAGCTCTATCTCACCGTCAGCAGTCGAGGACTAATTGAACCGGATCCAAGTCCGACGATCTTCGCGCATACAGAGCTGGAAGAGCACTTACAGGAGCACACCTCGTCCACAGGATCACGCTGTTTGGGAACGGGTCACCAGAAGCTACTCCATGGGTGAAGTTCAGCTGTGAAGCTGGCGTGGCTTGTCTCTCGACATGTCGCTTGACGACCTTGCGGACAGATATACCTAGACCAGGATGATGGAGAGAAGGAGAGCGATAGTTCAAATTGGCACCATACGAAGCAAACGAGGCACCAATTAAGGTGATAAAGACGACGAGTTGCAACATCTTGGCCCGCAGTGACTTCACGGAAAGGTGCGTCAGGTAGCTCACCTTTTCAACCCTGGACGGAGCGGACAGCAGCTTCTTCAAATAAATCGCAGCTTGCGCACCATGAGAGCTCTAGGATCTCCAACCCGGGCTGGACGCAACCTTTGCCCTGTCATCCCACGCTGCTCTCATACTGTATCCCAAGAAAGCAACCCGGCAAGCTGGGGTGGAGATTCAAGCTTAAGCCACAAGCTTTCCGGTGCCGATGACGTTGAGCCAATTGAAGGCAAGACTGTTGGCATGCGGACGCCGTCTTCAGGGCAGAGTTTGCAAAGCTGCGCCCTGGATCGGCCTGGAAATCTTTGGGAGCTTCCTATCTCATCGTAGTCGTGTAGAAAGAAGCATGTTGGAGCAATCAACGGCCGCCCACGCAGAAGACGTCAATGGGAATTGAGATGGAAGAAAGAGAGTTTGGATCCCGTGGGAACCATGCAGTAGCTCTGAGCAGGCCTGCTCGGCAGCCACAGCTTGTCAAGGCCTGGAGCACGTGGGTGGCCTATCTGTCGAATGGCCGGCGAGGTATTTGAAAGCTGCAGAAGTGAAGACGTCACCTCTGTTTGTCCGCCCGGCAGACGCCCTGTCACCGATGCTGGTACGAGGTGGTTGCAGTTGACCAGGGATTCATGCAGCTGGCATGGACATTACTCGAATCGGTGGCAGAAGTGAACAACGTGCCATCCAAGCGAGTTCAGGTTTGCCCGACTGAGAAAGCGGCACGTTCGAATAGATGACGACCGGCGACGAAGCTGCCTTCCCCAACTCGTCCGGCCAGTCCATCACTACGTCGGATACATGCTTCCGCGAACCGTCACTCTGGTACTATGGAACCCAGACTCCTCCAGAGGTCGCATCGATATCCTCTTCCCGCTTCCCAGTCGTACGCGTTGACAAGCGTGAAATTATTCAGCAACCCAGGTGGCCCGTATTCCGTCAGGTTGCTCTGTATATAGGACAGATTGAATGCAAATGGCGTGCCCCCCGTCACATTAAGATCCATTTGGTACGGCGAGTATACCTTGAAAGGAGGCCAATTCGAAGCGGGACTGCTCATGGTACTGTTTGACGAAGCCCCATTGGCAACGTCGTTCGGAATTGAAGGATTATCCGACGTGATAAAATTGCCCCAGATTTGCATCGCGGCCTTGACAAAATCGGGGCTCTGATTCGGTGCTGCGGGCCCAAAGTACGCAGTCAAGTCTGAACCATGCACAGCAACTGGAACGGAGTACTGATACTTGTATGAACTGCGGCCGAAGTCACTGTAGGCTTGGGCCATCCAGTACGATGGGCATACAAAGGTCGTCTCCGAGTATATTGCCTGGCGCCCTTGTCAGCAGTAGTTCACGTCGTAGCCGGAACACTTCGCTCACAAAAGCTCTCTGCTGCTGTCCTGTAGCAACGCTACTTTGGTTGATGAAGCTGGGCAAAGCAGTGCCTGAAGAAGCATACAACGGAGCTCCGGGATCGGTCGAGCCGTTTGAACTGGGATAGTACAGTAAGACCTTGGCAATATCGTCGTTGCTGAACAGCGGGAAAGTCAGTTGCAGCCAGGCCACAAGGTCGTTCTCCGTCGTGATGTTGGGTTGCGT